TTACTTGCGGTGTGTTACGAGGAAGAAGGAAAGGGAATCAAATATATTTATCACTTTAGGGCTAGTGAAGTAATCTAAGTGCTATATTTGGAAATCCACAAAGGTGTGTAAATAAATATTCATTTTTAGTTTGGTCAATGAAAATTAGTCAAAATTCTATTTACCAATTTTTTTCCAAGAAATTCTCTTTTGGGTTTTGGTTGGACGGCAACTTTTTATAGAGATTCTTTCGGCTGGATATAATAGTTCTTGAATCAAAAGCCGGAGTTGATAACAGCAGAAATTCCTTTTCATCAACTGACAACCCTTTTCCAAAATCCCATTTTTTTAGGGGCTAATACCTAATTTGCATATTTCTAGATGTTTCTCGAATCATCTAGATTTTTCTCGAATATACTAGAATGATCTAGAATCTTCCAAACATTCTATTTCTAATTTCTTTTTTTTACAACTACTTCATGAATGAAAACTATTTTGTAATAACAAGTAGAACTTAGTGGAAATAGAAATACATCCTCGTAACAATATATATATATATATATATATATATATATATATATATATATATATATATATATATATGTACAGATGTGGATATAAAAGTAAACACTGATTCAAAACCATCTTCAGGGCATGAAGACTGCGTTCAAGCATGAAACAGACAAATAGACTTACAGCGGTGTTGACCTTAGTTTTTACTTTTATTTTTACATATTCTGAACAGACAGACTTTGTCGATTTATTTTATTGAATATATATTTTTATATATACCCACAGAAATCTGATTTTGGAAAGTGGATTAGGTTGAGAAATTCTCAGCATTTTTTTTATATATATATATATATATATATATATATATATATATATATATATATATATATATATATATATATATATATATATATATATATATATATAAAAATTACTTTTACAAATTTTGGGTGTGGGTTCTTCACCCCAAAATAATGTCAATCGTTCATATAAATATACGTCCGTAAATCATTCGTTTTTGGGTTAAGTTTACGCTGTGTTGCATATAGACAAGGTTACCTTTGTCATTCTTGTACATTTGTGACTAGTCTACCTTCAACGTTTAGCGTGTGTAGTAGTGAGTTAATTGAGAAGTGTTCCGTTTCACAATGCCGGGATATTCATATTGTGAGCAGGCAAATATGATTTTATATACGACCGCGCGAATGGTAATGGACGCGAGGTTGCACGGCTGTATCAGATTGCGTTTCCAGACCGAAAGCAGCCGAGACATCCAACCTTTGCTGCTGAGACAGGATCCGTGGCACTACAAACCATGGATCGAAGAAGAGATGCGCTTGTCCGCCTGACCACGAAGAACACATTCTACAGGCTATCGCCATCTGATTACTCACCACGGGAGAACTTTCGCTGATGGTTTATTGCACAAACTGCCGATCCATTGTTTCTCTCTTTATTCTTGTTTACGGATGAGGCAACATATGGAAGTGATGGAATAACAAATTTACACAAATAACCTTTGTAGACGGATCGGAATCCCAATGGTACAATACAGACTGGATCCCAGCATCAGTTTACAATTAATGTGTGGGCTTCAATTGTAGGTGACTGTCTGGAAGGTCCACATGTTCTCCCAGCACATCTACAGGAGCTGTTTACGGGGACTTTATTTCGAACACACTTCCAGAGCTGATAGTGGATGTACCACTTCTAATACGAAGACGCATGTGGCTCATGCATGATGGAACTCCAGCACATTTAATCACATTTTCGCGATGCACTGGCTGACATCTACCATGAAAGCTGAATAGGTAAGTCAGTTATATGCCAAACACGCTTAGGTAATCATCTATCTTTCGATACATGACTGATGAGGCTTATTTTTCCCGCAGTAGGTTGCCATAAGAGAGGATGGATTCCATGGCCTGCACGTTCCTCCGACCTCAATCCTTTTGATTTTTATCTGTGGGGCCACCTAAAACAACTGGTTTATGCAGCAGGCATTAATAATGCAGAGATGCTTCATCAACGTGTAATGGGGGCCTGCAAAAGATTCGACACCGTGTGAAAGAGTCCGCCAGTCAATGATCCAACTAGTGCATGCGTGTGTAGAAGCAAGCAGAGGAGATTTTGAACATTTTTTTATGGGTTGTTGGGTTGAAGTACAACGATGGCCTTTTAGACATGTTTATATGGACATTTTACTTTGTTTTGGTGTCAGAAGCCAGTCCCCTAAAGTTTGTAAAAGTATTTTTGATATACCCTATATATATATATATATATATATATATATGTGTGTGTGTGTGTGTGTGTGTGTGTGTGTGTGTGTGTGTGTGTGTGTGTGTGTGTGTGTGGAGGTGGTGATATTTGATGACAAAAGTGATGGAAACATAAACAAAAAGAAATGGGCTAGATTATATACCCAAAGCATATTTAAATTCTGAGATTCCCCTTTCCTTTTTGCGCATGTGTATTCGCTTCAAAGTAAACAATTTTCCGATGTAAAGGACAAAACGCTTCACACTTATTCCATACCTTGTCATACCCTTTCCATATATATATATATATATATATATATATATATATATATATATATATATATATATATATATATATATAATACTTGACCAAAACTGTCTAAGATAAAGAAAGCCGAATTTTCCATATTTAGGTAGAGAAATCCATAATTAGTCAATGCTATATATGATCTTTAATTATTCAGTGGGAAATAAAATTTCATTTTCAGTGGCATTTAAGGAATCAACAAACATGTATATATTTTTCGCGTATGAGAGTTCATGTTTTTGTGACTGTTTCACAGCTTTTAATAAAATTTCCTGTTCTTATAAATTTACTAGTTAAGACCGTTTAAAATTTATATTTTTAAATTGAAATAGAGTTGTAAAATATCAAAAACTTAACCATTTTCTTAAGTCATTGAGCGTACTATTAAACATATATATATATATATATATATATATATATATATATATAGAGAGAGAGAGAGAGAGAGAGAGGGGGGGAGAGAGAGAGGCAGAGACAGAGAGAACGAGAGTTTTAGATATATATATATAGAGAGAAAGAGATAGATATAGTGAAAACTGAAAATTAATTCGAACTAAAGTGATGTTTATGTTGATGTGTCTACACATCGCACGAAAGGGAAGTGACGTTGAGAATTTTAAACTTTAAAATTAAATTTCTTTTATTCAAATATGTGTTTAGGTATAGTCTGGATGTTTTTATTTAGTTTCTTTTCCTTTTGGTTTATGTTTTCATCACTTTTGTTATTTTGTTACATGATCATTACTTATTCACTTTATCATAGATTTTCCTAAAATTGTACTGATATATAAACATTTATATATCATTTTCTCAGATAGATAGATAGATAGATAGATAGATAGATAGATAGATAGATAGATAGATAGATATACCCATAGGAAATCCATTTGCGTGTTTGCATGTGTAGTTTGGTGAACAGAAAGAAAGAAAGAAAGAAAGAAAGAAAGAAAGAAAGAAAGAAAGAAAGAAAGGAAAACGGTGAATCTTCTGAAAATGATAACATGAAGGATAGTGAAAAATATAAGAAATACAATTAAAGAAATGTTATTGAAAGAGACGGAATGGTAAACATGAGACTCTAAGTAAAAGAATGACAGAGCAAAAGAATAGGAAAACTGGAAATTTTTATTTTATTAAAAGAAATGATTTTTAGACGAAAACATGAAAAAGCAAAGAAAAATATTTGAAAGAAAGAAAGAAAGAAAGAAAGAAAGAAAGAAAGAAAGAAAGAAAGAAAGAAAGAAAATATTATAATAGCTGTGAATGTTAAAGTGGGGGAATGTTGGACAGTGTGGGGAGAGAAGAAACTGTCGGAGTGGCGCGCAATGCAAGATGTTGGATTAGAGAGGAAGAGGACAAGTAAAAATTAAAAGAATTAGTAGAAAGGGAGACAAAAAAAGAGTGTTCGCAAACGTACACAGAGAACGCTTATAACCACCCATTAATGTTAACATCAGTGTTAGTCTGACTAAAAGAAAAGAACGATTAATTAGAGAGAATTTTGTCGGAGTGACACTTAAAAAAATCGAAAGAAACAAAAAAAAAACAAAGAAAAGGCACACTCAAAGTGAGAAGATACGGAAAGAAATAGAGAAGTATGTTGATTGGAGGAAAAAAGAAAAGAAAAAAAAATTCTCTGTCAAAGACATATCTACAATAACATAGACATTTGTATGTATCTCTATGTACACTAGTACACATGTAGAAATGTTTAAAACAAACGGACATCCAAACTCACACGGTGAATGTAAGGAGGAATTCTGCGTGGGATTTTTCAATCGCTTTTCTAATAACGTTGACAAATTTTTTGCTCGTTCATTTTCGACTGTTTTTGGAGAAGAAAACCTTGTCTCCAGAAAGTAAGAAAGAAGTCACAAAATATATTTACGTACAAACATGCGTGGGTGCGCATACATCACACACGTACAGACACATTTACTTTGATATTTACTTTTGAATATTTACTTACATGTTTTTTTTTTAATACATACACATTATAAATAAGCATCCCCCACACATCCATATACAAAAATGAACTCACTTTCACAATTACGTATATGATATGTAAGCATATTATTGGTGAAATGACACATAGGAGTTTAGGATTATTTAATTACCTCACACTAACGTGCATATAAACTTTAAATGTGTTTTGCTAAGACTTTAGTCAAGTTGTTTAATATCGAACTAGGTATGAAAATATACTCTTATTTTTTTTCTGTAAATACATCACAATTACAAAGAAAAACAGTTCTACACAACTTCTAAATGTTGTTGAAACGAACAGAGAAACTAAACAAGTGTGCGAATGACGTGAGAAAGATAGCATACAAAGACAGAAAATAACATTTCCACGAGAAGAAAAAATAATATATATATATCTATATAAAAGAAACAAAACCCAAAAGGATTTATTAATTACGTTTTCGGCTACTAATTTGGATATGACGAACTCAGATATCCACGTCAGGTCCAGAATCGACAGTGAGGTTCAGAGTGAGAGTTATGCGGCTGCTACTAAACAAGAGGAAAGCCGAGTATCTACGACACGTGCTCTCCCGTTAGATTCTTCACATCGAACGAGATTGCGGTCGGCATCAGACTGTGGCAGCCGAGCGTTTTTCTACTTCATCGCCGTCACTCAAATTTTGCTCGTGACCACAGCTTCTACGACTCACCAACCACAGAATGTCGGTAGCACACGAAACCAGGCTGTTCAAACACGATTATCTTCTAATGCCGCAGATGGCATCCCGAGTACTTCAACAATATTGGAACACTTATCATGGCCTGTACCGACTCAGACACCAACACCCTTACGCTCAGCTTCAACAAAACGATCGGTATATTTATCATCATCATCGTCGTCGTTGTCGTCGACAGCTTTACGAAAAATAACATCAGTAAAACCATCAACACTACCCACACCATCACTGCTAACAACGGCAATGTCACCGTCAAAACTCTTTTTATCTTCATCACATCTAAAAACACTGACTACTGAAAGTACTACTAAAAGTGTTAACCATGAAATGACAAGTTATTTAAAGACTTCTCAAGCGACAACTTTGCGAAACCCTGATTATTTGGTCACTACAAAAACCCTTCGGAAAGGAGATCTGGTTTACCTGAAGCGTCAAATGGATTTTCAACGTCAAGAGATACGGCAACTGCGCTTGCAGTTATCACAGAATAATGACCAAATGACAACCCTTCAAAGAGAATTCAGAGAATTTTGTAAGCAACAACAGCAAATGCGTAATGTAGAACCGACCATACCTTCTTCGCCAACTGAAAAAAACCCACATACGACTTTTGCGTCATTATTGATATCCCCACCAGAACCTGAGGACAGGTCGACTAGTCTACGCGACATGTTGGATCCTCTTCTACATTTAACACCATTGCAGAAGGAACAAGAGATTCTGACAAACGCTTATACCGATCCGATGACTTCTCCTGACCCATTGCTTCAACCAGAAACATCAACGAAAAGCATCCAAGCTGTGACGATAGCTTCTGAAAAAGAAATCCCTACAAAATCTCGTACCTGTTCGGACTGTTCTAAAAATGAATTGCGGCTCTCCGATTTACAGAGAGAATTCGACTTATTTCAAAAGCAAGTCAATGCCACTTTTAGAACCATCTTAATTCAACTCGCCCACTTGAAATCGGACTCACAAGAAATTCCCGAGGCCGGTGAATATCGAAAAGAAGAATCAACTTTAAAAGTAAAGAAAACTGAAATCAAATCAGTTGAAGATGAAATTGTTGCCCTAAAAGACGATACTGGGACCAGAAAAGAAGCTGGAATAAAAAGCGGCGTTATGAACGATGCAGCTAACCATGCGGCGCTGTCCAAACAGAAGATTAGTTCAAGAACGGAAGGGGAAGGCGTTTTGCCAACGACAGCTATCGACTCGGGATCACGAAAGCATCATACCTCTCAGATTTGGTCAAGTGAACGAGACTCGGAGGGAAAAGGTGAAGATAAAGAAAGAACGGAAAGCTTAAAAGAAGACGCCGACAAAGATGATGTGAATTACAGATATTCAGATGATATGGCTCAAGAACTGGAAAGTATTAGCCAAAAAGTTCAACTCATATCCGATCGTCTCGAAGATTTAGAGGATCAGCTGGTATTTGTTAAAGAAAACACGTCTCTATCCATTAAACATGTTAAGGATACTCTCAGAGGCAATATTTCTTTACTGGAAAGTCATAATAGCCATTCGAGATTGGATGGTGAAAAAAAAGGTTTTGATCAGGAAAAGATCTCAAGTACACATAATGTCAGTGATCACACAATTAAAGACAGCGGACAAAGAACATTTTCTAAGAAAAACGACACAGAAAAGAAGGAAAAAGAACACTCAAGCACCAGACAAAGGATGCTAAGTAAAAACTTCCTTCAAACTGGACAGATTACTAGTGGAAGTGATATGGACAAGTTATCAGGGAAAAAACAGTTTCAGAGTACGTACGCGGAAAGTGTACACCGTAATTTTTCATGGCTTTTTGAAAACTTTCAATCCATGCAAAATGAAATTTCCCATTTGGATAATGCCATGAATGAATTGTCCATCACTTTATCTAAACTAGCAGTGCGTTTTCCCTTTGCAGTCGAAGAAAGAAATGCAACATTAGACGCAATAATTTCGGCTGCGACAGAAAAAAGTACATCTGATCATTTGGGCCGTTTGCTCAACGAGTGGCCAACTACAATCCGAGAAGAAAAGAGCGGCGAGAAAGGTTATCAAAACAAATCATTTTTGAAAGATGATCAATCACTGAATGATACTTTTGAACAGGAGACAAACACCTCACAAGGTGTGTCAGCTGAAAAGATCTTGGCTGTAAATCAAAGTGAAGAGTGGAAATCTGGGAGTCAGATGATATCTGATTCGGCTGAACAATTCCCAGAAGGAACTCACAGCATGCTCGAAGCATTAATGTCCTGGATTAATGATTTGGATGCACAAATTCAAAAACTCAAAATTGCCGTGGATGAAATGAAAACAAAGATCATATACATGCTGTCTATCACAGAGCAAATGTACCCGAAAGAGCCAAAGGCAGACGAAAAAGATGAAGCTGAGAAGCGACCCAGTTCTTCGTTGCAGCTAAATTCGACTCTAGTAAAAACATCGCAGATAAAGAAAGGAAACTCTTTGCCTGGAGCTTCTTCTGCCTCACCTCCAACAACTTCCCTTTCTCGCCAGCTCACATCTTCAACTGCCCTTTTGGCCAATATATCTGATGTGCATGAACGATTTCTACGAAATCGTTCCATTGGTTCATTTGAAAACAGAAGCATAGATATATCCGATTCTACCACGCAAAATCATCATCTCTATAACTTTACAGAATTGGAGAGTTTTGAAGTCAACAAATCAATTACTGTCACCCCAGCCTCCGTTCTAAGCACTTCAACTGATGAGAGCGTTAAAGAAATCATTCCACTACCGACAGATATCCGAATAACGGATAGTCAAAACACGACGTTAAGAGAAACAGATTCGCTTGCGACCGTCTTGGATAATATTCAATCCCTCATAAAAAGAGTGAAAAAACTTGAATCGCAGGTGCTGGATTTAAGTGAAGAAAAATTACTTGAAGCAAATGATTCTGGACTTCATATCCAAACAGATTATATGGGATCAGGAATTACAGAGGAAGTTCCAGCGGCTTCCTTGGAGATGATAAACAAAATTGCTCTTAACATGAGCAGCCTGCAAACTCAGATTGCCGATATAAAAAGTAATGTGTCATCCCAGGAAAACCAATTGAACGCTGTGAAGAATGATGTCTTTATACTGGATGAGAATATGGATTATTTGGGAAGGGAACTGGCTGACCTTGAATTAAAACAAAGACGTGACGACAGATTTTACCACAGCCAACAGATTACTGAAGCCAACCTCAGCCTGTCAGTGGTCGCATCCGAAGTTTCTCAAATACTGGCACCAAAGCAACAGCTTACCAACCAAAATTTAAAGGAATTGAATGAGAGTCTCAGCAAGCAATGGGTGGTTCTTAATCGTCTAATGGATACCACAACACAACAGGAAACAAATATTTCTAAAATAGCCCAAAATGTACATTTTTCCCAAGAAAAAATACTTTATGTTGATCTCACGAAAAGGGCGTACAGAATATATAATTCGACATCAGGTAGGAATAATTACTTTGATCCTTAATAATGATATCGTTACAGATACAGATCATTTTTTTATTGTAATATTCTTTCTTTCTTCTGATGTGACTATTTTTATAGCTCAAAAAAAAAAAAAAAAAAACCGGAAATATGTTATATATATATATATATATATATATATATATATATATATATATATATATATATAATATTAGTGGTAAATATACACATACATATGCGAAATATATAAATATATATACACATAGGTGCATACACATACATGTATATTTTTGAATAAAAATTCCAAGAGGATAGAATCCAGGTAGAACTCAATGTCCAGAACAAAGTAAGGATGTAATAAAAAGGCTTAAACATTAATATTAGTGTTTAAGACCATGGAATAATAGTGTTTAAGCCTTTTTATATATATATATATATATATATATATATATATATATATATATATATATATATATATATATATATATAAAACATATTTTAGGCGATCATGTATCTTTCGATACATAACTGACGAGACAGACCCCCCGCAGTTGGTTGCCATTTCTTTCTGTGGTAGACCAGTTGACATCCAAGGGTATGGAAGCCTGTCTGTCCTACTATTTAACCCTAGCTGGGGAGAAGAAGAGGATTCATACCTTTCCCAAGAGTATTAGCATGTAAATGCTAAAATATCTACATGCTCAGATTCATAACCCCATACAATATTTTTAGTTCCTTGGTAAAGTCCAGACATTATTATTGTGTTGCCCAAATAGTTCGTTTGGGTTATTAAGTAAATTTTCTACTTAATAACTGAATGAACTTCATCAAAAGGGCGTATAGAATATATAATTCGACATCAGGTAGGAATAATTACTTTGATTTTTAATAATGATGTTGGTACAGATATAGATAATTTTTTTTATTGTAATATTATTTCTTTCTTCTGATGTGACTATTTTTATAGCTCGAAAAAAACAAAACAAAACGGAAATATATTAAAATTAGCTGTCCAGGTGTATAATTCCTTTAAAGTGACCAACTTTTCGATCAATTCTTATCAGATAGAATCAGAATCTGGACAATTAATTTCAATATGCCTCAGCTTTTTCAAACTATATTTAGGTTCTGCATCTTTAAAAAAAAAAAAACTTTTTTCTTCTTAAGTTTTCATACCAGTAATATCTAATAGCTTTTGCTGGAGATCAAATGACTTATAAATACTTCATTCAGAATGGTTTATTCTTTATCAGTTGAGAATACATACTATTAATAATAATATGTTATAAGAATAACCGTTGGGCACCTCGAGGTGGTGTAATGGTTAGCAAGCTTGTCTCGATAGAACAGTTACGACTGAGTAGTGAGTTCTAATCCTCACTGGCTGTCCCTTACTTTCAGTCTTGTGCCACATCCAAGCTACGCTTGGAAAATAGCTATAAGAATAGTAGTTAGCGAGGTTAATCTGCTTGAACATGAGTTCGGTCCTTACTGGAAACTCCATACGATATTCGAGATTAAATAGTGCAACAACAATGGACATGTAAAATCAAGGAACATAGCTTAAGCAAATAAAATAAAGTGTTTTTAAAGGAGATCAAGTGGCAGCATGTCTCTTCAATACTTTCTTTAACATTTTTGCAGATTTTAGACATTTAGACATTAACCATTTTTCTTCAGAGTTACAATTCTTGTAAACTTTTGCCAGGATTTTTGATTTTTTTTTTTTTTACACACCTTCATATTCAGCAATATTTTTAGTTCCTTGGTAAAGTCCAGACATTATTATTGTGTTGCCCAAAAAGTTCGTTCGGGTTATTAAGTAAATTTTCTACTTAATAACGGAACGAACTTTTTGGTCAACACAATATTATTATTGGAGTAATAGTAGTTTTAGTATTATTATTCATACATTTACATGTTCATTACCAGATATATGCTAGTCATCACTGACAACTGCATGACAGCAATTTTCCTTAAATTTCCATCACCCTTCTCATTATCCTTGTAGACCTCAGTAATGCTACGTTATATACACTCTGAGACTTTCCTTGAAATTCTAACTCTTCTAATTTCAGTTCTAATGCTTTCGAGACGGGATTATTATTATTATTATTATTATTAGTAGTAGTAGTAGTAGTAGTAACAATAATAATAATAATAGTAGTAGTAATACATTAGTGGTTGGCTAATTTTATTCTAAGAAAAATATTTAAGTATAGAAAACCGGACTTCATTACATTTACTACTAATCTTGGCATTAACTATTGTTTAAAATATTTTTGAAGGTATTGTATTCGAACCAAAGTGTACATGCTCAGATTAATACACCTTTTTGTGAAATACATCAGTGATGTTTTTAGCGGAGGATCATTAAGGGTGTCGGGTCTTTCAACATCATATCCCCTCTCCACGTTGGCCCAGCAGATACTGATAGTATATATATATATCAGTCAATTATGTGCCATGCATGATACATAGGCGATCATATATCTTTCGATATATGACTGACACTGCAGACTTTTTTCTCCCACAGTTGGTTGACATTTCTTTCTGTGGTAGATCAGTTGCCATCCAAGGGTATGGAAACCGGTCTATCTATTTACCCCTAGCTGGGGGAAAAGAAGAGGATTCATACCTTTCCCATGGTATTAGCACGTAAGTGAATGTAATGGATTCGACTGGATATATATATATATATATATATATATATATATATATATATATATATATACAGTATTGAGCAAACTTTGTGTGTGTATTTCTCCTAATCCCTGCCCAGCCATTCATTTACACAAGTTCGTTGGGTAGGTTACAATCTGATATCCCCTATCCTTCTTGCCTTCAATCTGTCCTGTGAGTATCAAATTTTCTAAGTTGCTCTTTTTCATTATGTGCCCTAGAAATTTAAACTGTCTCTTCATGATGTTATGTAGAAGTGTCCTTTTAGTTTCCCTTTTCTCTCAAACTTCGTTGTTGCTCACATGTTTAGGCCATATTATTCCCAGTATCCTTCTGAATTCTTGAGGCAACAGAATTGTAATCTCAAGTCTTTTCTTCATCATCTGTGACGAGAATTCACTGCCATATAGGAGGATGGATATTAACTATCAGTTAAGTACTCTTCTCTTTATTTCTAATGAAATTTTCCTATTTCTTAATACTTTGCTTAGCTTTTGAAAGTCCTCTTTTGCTATCCCAATGCGGCTTTGGATTTTGGTTTCGCACTTTCCACGCTCTGTTAAAACACTTCCTAGGTTATTAAAATCTGCGTACTTGCTTGATTTTGGTATCTCCTATTTGTAATTCGCACATTGGGATTTTCTTTTTGCAGACATACATACATTCTCTCTTCTTACAATTGATGTTTAGTCCTTTCTTCTTGATTTTCTTTATTAAGTTCTGTAGGAGTGCCTGAATTTTAATTTCTGTGTCTGCTATCAACATTGTGTCATCAACATATCTTATGTTGTTAAGATTGTGACACTTTCTCGATGTAGTGATTGTTTGCAATTTTTCCTCTAAATTTGATCTTTCTTTTAACGGTAACTATTTCGAATTTCAGCTAAAATTCAAACCCTGAAATTTCCTGATAAATTTAATTCATATATTTTTAACTGGTATCGTACGGTTAGTTAAAATATTTAACGCGCGAGGGTAAGATGAAAAATTTTCGGTCCGACCAGATTCTAAAATCTTGCGAAATGAACAAACTTCAGAAATTTATGTAGTTATTTATTTTTATTTTATTTTATTTTATTTATTTCACTGGGAGATGCCTGATTTTTCACTTTTGTAAAATAGAAAGTGAAATAGCAAATATTAGAAACTATTTTATATGTTGAAGATCTCTACATAGTTGGTTACACATAGATACGGACGTATGCTCGCTCTCTCTCTCTGTCTCTCTCTCTGTCTCTCTCTCTCTGTCTCTCACTATCTCTCTCTCTCTCTATCTCTCTCTCTCTCTCTCTCTCTCTCTCTCTCTCTCTCTCTCTCTCTCCCCTCACATACATAAAATGCAACATCGATGTGAAGCAACTTTCAGTTGCACTACGATGAGGGGCCTGGGATTTGGAAAACATCTATGACTTTTTAGTAAAGTTATCCATACTAATTGAAAAGTTACCGTATTCATACTTATTACCATAAACATTTTAAATAAGTATATAAGTTATTTTTCTACTATTACGATGGTGTTTACATACCTGATTAATGTTGCTTTATCGTTTAAAATCAAGTGGAGCATATTACAGTGTAACCCGGATATAAGAGACCCGGATATAAGAGAGATTTTCTCTGGTCCCAAAGTGTTCACATACTTACCTAAACAAAATAGACCAAACCCGGATATAAGAGAAACCCGGATATAAGAGACTTCTTCTCCGGTCCCGACAACTCTCTTATATCCGGGTTACACTGTAGTTCATTTATGTACAATTAATAAACTCTTTGGTTGGTTGATTTTCTTTAGTGGCATATCAACCTCTATCGTTTTTTTAATGTCGAAATCCAAATAATTTTAATACAATTTTATGGCTTCAACTACAGATAAAATGTATTGTTGGTCATTTTGCTATAAATAGGTAGTGTCGGTAATTTTACTATAAATAAGTATTGTTGGTAATTTTTTTTATGTAAAAATGTATTGTTGGTATTTTTTTTATAAAAATGTATTGCTAATATTATTTTACTATAAAAATGTATTTTTATAATATTTTTCTTTTGTTTGGGAGTTTACTAATTACCCATAGATGGAAACTTAACATGTGCTACGACCTCGGGCCGGGCTAGGCTTGGGAACAATAGCAATTATGAGGTGGTTCCACGCTCCACAAAACCTCCAATCTCCTGATCAGAGGTATTTGAACTTTTTGTTATTCCAAAAACTTTAATATGTCGACCGATTCGGCTCGATTTACAATGCAAGTATAATGTTAAACTAAACCCTATTTTGTGTAGTCAGTTTAGCTAAACCAAATAAGTAAGATTATATTTGTTTTTTAAATCATTTTATTCCAGAAAGGCGATAATGCAACTAAGACACGGGGCGGGGGTACAGGGTGTGAAAGAGAATGAGGAGATTTTAGTGAGAAGAAATGAGGAAAAAAACTATAAAGGAAGAGGATTCAAGGAGACAGAAGATGGCAAATAACGTTGAATTTAAATTTTGGAAGATTGTAGTTGGTATTGAGGAAAGATATCAGAATGGAGTTCCACAGGTAAAAAGTGTGAGAAAATAAATTATTCGTGTTATTAATTCCTAATTTATTATATATATATATATATATATATATATATATATATATATATATATATATATATATGTATGTATGTGTGTGTGTGTGTGTGTATTTCTTTTTTACAGGAAAACAATTATTATTAACGTTTCCTGGTTCTAAAGCAAAAATCATTTGCATGTTTGACCTTCCTTAGGGGAAATTGTCAAGGGTTTAAAATGCTGAAAACGTTACCTTCGACGAAAGTTTAAAAATAAAACACACACACACACACACACACACACACACACACACTACACTTAATCATTATTTATGTATGAGCCCGTGTGTGTGAACAAGTTCGAACGACACGAAACAAACCAAATTTTAAGAAATCTTATTTTCCCCATGAAATTAGCCATGCTATACAGTATGGCACACGTGTCGCATGTGGCACGCGGGCCGCATGTGGCGCGCGGGCCGCATGTGGCGCGCGGGCCGCAATTTTCTCATGACTGGACTAAACTAATATTCATATATTTTTTAAAATTATTTTTCACTAATATTATTACATACTGCAATTTTCAGACCAACTGTCACTACTCCTTTAGCGGACTGTATATAAATCGGGCTGTTTATATAGTTCACTGGTACTGACGCTGGGAAGCGCGTATTGTTCAAATTAAATAAATATAGGTCTATGCGCGCACGAACACACATATAGCTATATCGTTCGTTAAAATATTTGCACGTGCGAGTGTACAAACATTTTTAACTAAATGAACCAATTTGAAAGCGTGCATCCTTTTTATAAATATCATTCATTTCATCTGTTTGTTTATGTTTGATTATTTTTTCTGGTCTTTTTTTTTTTTAGTATTTTCATGGCTACATATATTTATTTCCTCACAGTACAAAGCTGTAATTCTATGAAAGATGCGGACCGGTCATTCCTCAATAAGAAGACACAAACCTGTTATTATGGTTACGGTAACAAAAAGATGCTACCTTACAACGCTGCGAAACGAAAGTGCGAAGACGCCGGTCTTCACATCGTCTTCATGGAAACGGAAGAGGAGCGTGAATACGTAGCCAAAGAAATAACGCAAGGTAAGAAAAGATTTGATTGAACATATTTTAAGACGCATTTTTATGGAAATACTATTCCTCACAGTCTGAAAATAACACATTTTTAAACCCAAAACCTTGCTCAATTCTAGATTATAAAAGAGAGTGGTTTTATGCTAAGCTAATCTAAGCTATATAAATATTTAAAAATTAATATAAAATGAAATATCCACGAAATATTATTAAAGCAAGAGAGCCCAGTCAGTTCTGCTATTTAATCGATAGTTAATCGAAAGAAATGAATTTCCAAGGGTATTAGTGCGAAAGTGAATGCAACAATTTCTGCAGGAATTCCAACTTAATTCGACGATTTCTCTTCCCGAGTCGCTAAACGTTACATTACCCGGATTTACAGTGTTCATAACAGTTATATAATCTATTTTCCTGAAAAAAATTGTTTTAAGAGAAAGATTTTATAAAATTCAACGGAAAGCAGTCCTGGCTGCTATGTTAATGAAGTGCTTAATGTTTCCTTGTAGAGAAACGGCTAATATTGCCATTATAATTACCATGCAGATGTTATCAAGAGCTGTTTCCAACTAAATAATTTATGTAGTTGATTTTTAGCTAGAAAACGAAAGTTAGCAGCAAAACAAATGAAATTCAGAAAAATATCATTTTCTCAAACGAAATGAACGTTTTCCAAATATGATTAGCGTTAAATATACTGCGAAAATTGTAAAACACTACGTGGCAACTTTAGTATGGAAAGCAGTTCGAGACGATGGAAAAAATTAAATCATTTTATGCAATCGAAATGCGAACTCGAAAAAGTATTAACGCGTCGTCGTTCAAGGCTTACTCTAAATATATTCAAATTTGTGCATATTTCTTCTTCTTCTTCTTCTTCTTCTTCTTCTTCTTCTTCTTCTTCTTCTTCTATATGACTTGTCTCTTCAAATCGATCCTGAACATGACTCTCCACAATTTCCTTTCGTTTGCAGCTCTTAATATATTTAGTTTTTTTATTATCTCTCTGAAACCTTGTCCCGCAATCCAATTACTTAAGCACGCCAGGTTGGTTATGCGCTGTTTTCTCCTGTCCCTCTTGCCTTTAATAAGTCCTGTGAATATCAATTTTTTCAAGCCCTCTTTCTTCATTATGTGCCTACCTCTTCCTGATGTTAAGTATAAGTTTCCTTTTAATTTCCATTTTCTCGAAAACTCCGTCGCTGCTCACATATTCAGCCCATGGTATTCCCAGCATCCTTCTGTAGAAGTACATTTCTGTTACTTCAAGTCTTCATCTTTTTAAAACAAAAGCGCATTGTACATTTCATAAATTGGCCAAGCCTGTCTCCTGACTTGAATATTATAGAAAATTATTGGAATATAGTAAAGATGAAAGTGAAAGATATTTATTTACCCTGGAAGAGCATGATGATTGACTCAGTAAATATTGCTCCTTTTATTTTGAATTTATTTTCTTCTCTACCAAAAGGACTTTTTAAGCAATGATTAAGTAATGCTCTTTCAAAGTACTAGGTAATTTTTATAATAGGTATTGTTTCCTGTACTAGGTATATTATAATGTATATTGTTTTTTGGTAAATTGCTTAATTGAATTTTTATTTATTATTTGACATTTACTCTAGAATACCGAAAATATTTGCACGCTTTTTATACTTCTTGTTAAAATCTACATTACCTATTTTTAAATGCCATGTTTGTTTCAAATGCCCCTATCGATGGAGTAATGGTTAGCATCACGGTTTGCAGAATAAGTGAACCGAGTTCGAATTCTAGTCGAGTTCCTTATATTCGCTTCGGTACAAATACACTTGGGAAAGCTATAAATTCATCTCTTCTCCATGCAGGCTGGGTCCTATAGCATTGGGCTGCAACCCAATACTATAGAAAAATAGCTCTGAATTCAAAACCTCCAACTATGGGTTAAATAGTTCCAACAACCCGCAACAGGCCAAGCGTAGTGAGTATCACTACACCGCTGAAAACACGGTCGGTCAATGTTGGTTCTTTCAACAGGAGTGAGAAGTCCCTGGATGTGGTAAGTTTAGACCGAGGCAATCATGTCTATCTACAGCATTTTTTTTTTCTTTTTATAATGTGAACTGCCTTGAATTCTTGGGAAAGATAGTAGAATCATTTTCTATTGCCTTCTGCACAGTTTTGTATTCAGGGTTGTCCTATTCCTCGATTGTCTACCGTCCAAAGCTAGAGAACCCGATTGACTTTGCTGTGTAACCCATAAATAGAAGACGAGATAGATCTAAGCTTTTCCCAAATGCATTTGTACGAAAATGAACGCAACAGATTAGATTCGCCGATTCCACCATTTATGCTCGTAACTCTTTTCGTACAACCTTATTCTTCTTCTCCTATGTGCCATGTCCTTTCCGGACGTGGGCAATCATAGCTCTCCATAATTTCCTATCTTTTGGAGCTCTTAGTAATTTTTTCTTTTACCTATCCCTCCTAA